TATCCTTCACCATTTAGAGTACCACCAAATGTCAAATCCTTAAGAGTATATCCATTTATTTTAATGAAAGATGATAAATCTGATATTAACGAGTGAAATTTGATTTCTAAATATACTTGTTGAATATTTGGAAGTAAAGTAGATTTTAAATTATTCAACTTGTTATTGCAATTTTTTAATGATAAAGATTTTAAATTTTGGAATCTTGGTATCAAAGAATCTAAATTATTTTCTTTGATGCTAGAATAGCTAACCATTGATTGTGAATGAATGGAAATTGCCTTTTTGAGTTCATCTGATAAATTTAAAAAATTGGTGTGCATATTGCGTGAATTATCATTAATGCTCAAGTGTTTGATTTGCTTTTGTGACTTAATTAGTTGTGATAGACTATAATCGTCATCAACGTTATATAAATAAGAACCGTTACATTCTATTGTTAAAACTTTGATATTTTTACAAACGTGTGCCAATTTATTAAGGAATTCAGGATTATTTGAAAAACTAAAATTAAGTTCATAAAGATTCTGAAAACAAGTTTCAAACCTATGATGATTAATTAACCAACCACATGCTGATTTAACTGTTATAAGTTTTTTGATAGTTGTTGAATGGTTTAAAATAAAGTTACTTAATACTTCTTGTAAATAACTGACAAGGTATCTAATTTTGTTAAAATTCAATTCTGTAGCGAACTTTGCATAATTATATAATGGTGGTTTGTCTAATTTTTTAATGTCTAATTCAATGTCATTCCTTTCTAAGAAATCATTATTTTCTACTAATATGCAATTAATTAATATTTTAATGCTTTTAATAGTATAGAATGGATTTCTCCATAATTCTGGAATATTAATATCATGCCATTGTTTATTAACTAGAATACAAGAGTAAAGGGTTCTATAATCGCCATCCTCAATGTGTCTAAAAATTTCTATTAAAAGTTCAGTTGGTAAAAAGGATGCATATGATTTGCTGGCTTTGCTTTCGATTCTCAAGGAATTATTAACTGCTTTCCAAAGAAACATTGATGGTGGCTTTTTTTTTTGTGCAAAGTAAAAAACAATTTAACTAGTTACACAAAGTAAACAAGCCCTCCTGACCATTTTATTTTCGAATTCAAAAAAAATTGGGATTTGATTCTCGCGTTCGTTTTCAATTCTTCGTTTTGATTGGTTGATTTCAACAATTTTGTCCCAATTCATAAATAACGCATGTTGTGCAATGTAGTGTTCGAACTTCGACTGTACCTTAATATAAAACTAGTCTAATTTTAGCATTTAATTTTCAGATTTGGTTAGCGTGTGCAGATTCGTCGATTGGAATAATGGGATAAACCTTGCGAGTTTTTGTCATTTGAATTTTTTAATAATAAGATAAATCAAATTTGCAAATATCATTTAAAAATTGTCAATCCAGTTTTTTAAGGAATTATTGTTATGGCAATTGATAATAAAATCACAAAGTACTTTTTTTTTTCTATAATAATAGGAGCAAAAAAGTTACCTTGCTTTTGATATTTCCCTTATAAAAAAATGAACGGAGGTATTTTTTTTTTATAACTAACTATTTTAAAATATAAGCAATAATTAATATTTTGCTTTATAATTAATTTTAATAAAACATCATCTAATCATCTAATCATCTTAATTAAATAATTTTATTTTTGGTTTCTTTCTAATAAACAGTGTGTAAGTATTATATATTAACTTTTACAACGCAAAATAAACTTTATTAATAAAATGTCATCTAATTAAATAATTTTATTTTTTGCTTCTTTATAATAACCAGCTAGTAAGTATTATATTATAAATTAATTTACAACACCAAATACACAGTGAACCTCGATTTAGTGGACCTCGATTTAGCGGATGCTAATTAAAAAATCTCGTTTTACGGATAAAGTTCAAAGAACGGTTCCATAATAAACCTTAATAAAAACCTTCTCGATATAGCGGATATCTCGGTTTAACGGATTTTTTGAAAATTTTCCCTAATTGCCCAAACTATCCGCTAAATCGAGATTCACTGTGTAAAAATATCATCTAATTAAATAAAATTTATTTTTATTTCTTATAACCAGGGAGTAAGTATTATATTATAAATTAGCTTTTACAACACAAAATCAACTTTATTAAAACATCATCTAATTAAATAATTTTATTTTTTTATTTATAGATCGTAAGTATTATAATATAAATCGACTTTTGCAACACAGAATAGACTTTATCTAATCCAATTTGTTCTTTCTTCATAATAACCAGCATGTAAGCGTTATATTATAAATCAACTTTCACAACATATAACCTAATTAAAT